CATAGCTCAATAACAGTACATTGTATTTCTCAATTTAAAAGTAACCAGAAGTCTCTTTCGAGACTGAAGCTCTACTGGTTTTTACTTATAACAAAGGATGAGAAAATAAGCCATTGCCATCAGACCAAAACTGTAGGATGACTAGCGTTTTAAAGGAATTTCAAAGAAAAATCTATTTTGAGTAACCATGGCAACATCGTTCATCGAAATTAAAATCCAATGCACTATTTTATGAATCTTAGGGTAGTCTACTTGTGTGCCAAGTAATATTGAAATCAAATCAAAACTGTGGGAGGAGTAGCATTTTAAAGAAATTTCAAAGGAAATTCTATTTTTAGTAACCACGGCAACACCGTTGATCAAAATTTTTTTAAAAAATGCACTATTTTATGTATCTTAGTGCAGTCTACTTGTGTGTTATGTAATATTGAAATCAGACCAAAACTGTGGGATGTGTAGCGTTTTAAAGGAATTTCAAAGAAAATTTTATTTTTAGTGACCATGGCAACACCATTCATCGAAATAAAAAAACGATGCATTATTTTATGTATCTTAGAGTAGTCTACTTTTGTGCCATTGTTATATTGAAATCAGACCAAAACTGTAGGAGGAATAGCATTTTGAAAAATTGTTTACAGACAGACAGACAGCTAGACAGACAGACGGACGGACGACGGACACCTTACTATCGCATAAGCTCTTCTTGTCTCTGACCAGTAGAGCTAAAAATGCCATTTGGATTAAGTTGCACTCTATCATATGGCATAAAATCTGCTAATTATAATGTTCCATAGGTCCATTAATCATCTAATCTCATAAAACATCGAACCAATTTTAAAGCAGGCTGGAGGAAATGGATCCCATACCAAACCATTCTCACTATTTGCTCATGAGCAGCTCACGTGAGGACTAACCAGATTTCCTCACCTGAGTTGCTCATGTGAGTCTCATGTGCAATTTAACATGCAAATTAGGTGAAATGCTCACGTGAGCAGGGTTCTGCACAGTCATTAGCATTTTTTGCTCACGTGAGGAATCATTTTGCTCACCTAGAATATTGCTCACATGAGTCTCATTGGGCTCATGAGACTTATGTGCTACAATTGCTCACTAGAACAAAATTCAGATTTAAAAAACATTATATAATTATGTAATTCTAAAATGTGATTCATCAATTACATTTTAAATACTCTTGAGCAACATGTACATGTAAATAGATGCATGCATAATCATGTTCAGTGAACTTCATTTTTTAAACTTAAAATGAAATAAAAATTTTAATTAAATTATTCTAATTATGAATAGTACACATCAATCAAGGTATTATTATCCAATAGTTCCATTTCTAGTAGATTAACATTGCACTAACATTGCATTAGATTGCACTAGTACTAGACGGTTTTAAGTTGTCTTGGAGGCTAAGTAGATGTTTCTGCCTTTGATGAATTTATGAGTGCATGGCAGTCATACTTGCGTTTAAAATGATAATCCATTGGTCATAAGAATCATAATCAATTCATCCTGTTCCATTCTTTTTCCTTGCATTTCCTTTAAATGAGTGCGAACATCAGAACTCTGTCATGTAATCAAGCTCAGATATACAGTACCGACCGGACACAACCTAACACCAGAGCGAACCCGGAGCGGACCCCGGGTTCGCTTCACGGGTTCGCTCGGGGTCCACTTCGGGTTCGCTTTCAGAAATTTTGGGACCGCTCCGGGTGCGCTTTGGGTGCGCTCCGGGTTCGCTCGGGGTCAGCTCTGGGTCCGCAAGAGCGAACCCGGTGTTCGCTTCCTGGGACCGCTTTACGCACTGATGCGTGAAGCAGACCCCGCTTTTATCTCTCCGCCAGTAAGCCCCGCCCCTTGTATATTCCAATACAGTACTGGTATTGTGGATCGATCATTGTTGTTTATGCGACGATGCGGACATATGTACACTGTCATGTTAACAGTGACATTATGGAGAACATTGATAAATTTTCTGAAATTAAACTGTTAGACGTAGATTTACATGTACATGAAAAATTGATTTCCTTGATTTCTCTATCCCGAGAAACTCAAACTAATTAAACAGCGGGTTATAAGGCATTTATTTTTCGTAAGTTATAACGAGAAAACAAAAAAAGAAGAGGAAGAAAAGGGTATATTGAATTGATTTTCAGCGTATCGAATGGTGTACATGTAACAAGTGAAACTGACGAAAGAAATTTAAACTAATTTAATACCTTTTAAATTCATGCTTTATTTAGTTTAAAAATACATTTGTTATTCATTACGTTTTGCTAAATCGTATTTTGAATGTTTACTAAACACCTGAAATAGGATATCGCATCTATAAATTACATGTAACCTTTTGTAAATCTGATATATTTAGACTTTATTTATATATAGTAGTTACACATTAAAAGTTCGTAATAAATATTTACCAGACATTTTCTAAAAAAAAAAAGTTACACTGTACAATGCTGTATATTAGAGCTTTTTCACGGTCCAAATTTTGGAGCCAGAATGATTATCAGAATAAAGAAAAAGGCAAATAATAATTGTTCTCCCGACCCGATAAGAATAATATATAAATATATGCCCCCTTCTTATTGTTTAATTATTTTATTTATGATTTCTCAATTTACATGTTACATTAAATTATTCAAAATTTAAACCAACATTATTGATCTTCTTAGTCTTCTTGGGCATGAAAAAAAATGCGTGTATATAAAAATCATTCTTCTGGATGCACAGATTGAAGTCATTCCTAATGGTATTAAAAAACTGCAATGAATTCACCAGAATGAACGTAAATAAGACCAAATTCCAGATGATACTTAACAAGATTTATTAATTCTTTCAACTTAGTGTAACTCTACAGTTAGTTTGCGTTGCCATCTTTCGAACAACCCACATAACTATGCATTGCTAACGCCTTTATTGATTATTTTTTTCCCAATAATTAGTCCTAAAACATTTCAAAATTTATAATAGATTATAATTCATATGTTAAAATATCCCTTCTATATTATATTTCACTGATTATTCTTTGTCAAGTATAGTTACGCATTTTGATAGAATGACAAAATGTACGATTTACTAAATGTCATGATTAATTAGCGTAATTAATTCGTTCACTTGTGTAAACTTCATAATCGCTGAAGATCAACTATATTTCTTTTCTCCGCTTTTTGTCAGTAAGAATTGTAATATCAATCGATTTCCATTTTTATTCATTGACTGATGAATATACCCAATTTATTTAATTTATTGCTTTAAAAAAAAATAATTAAATATTATATAAATATAACATACAACCCTGAGAAATAAAATATATAATTATTTAATAGTACATGTATTTTAATTATCACAATATAAGTAACACAACACATTCACACATTTTTGGATTTATGTCGAATTAAATCAATACGTTCGATCTTATATCCCAATCGACAGATCATATGCTATTTTGATTGGTTGATGCGCTGATTGGTTAATCGCTAATCCTGATTGACAGCTCTGTAAAGATATACACAACCTGCGTTCGCTCTCTGGGACCGCTACTGAATCTGGGGTTCGCTCTCTGGGTCCGCTTCGGGTTCGCTCGGGTCTGCTACGGGTTCGCTTTCGGGTCCGCTCCAGGTTCGCTTTCTGTTAGGTTGTGTCCGGTCGGTACTGTAGGGTCCGTGATTTATGAATCTGCAGATCCTTTGATTCCAACTTTTATCTGCAAAAAATTTGAAGTTTTAATAAGTTTTAAGTATATTTTCAAGGTTCCGTTGGTCATAAAAAGCCATGCAGTCAATAGAAAAATCATATGCATCAATATCTAATTAGCAACTTAAATACATGTGATTCATAGAATACCACACTGAGGCTGTCGATTGTACACTCTGACCTCATCTGTTCTTACCATATTTATAGTTCTTAATTATACTGTAATTTGATCCTGATAACATTCTGCATTAAATATATCAAACTTAAATACTGATAATTAACATATAAACATTAATATTTTTTAATTAGTAATATCTAAAATGAGAGGGGGGATAATAAATTTCAAAGCACTTACCCCATTCTCAGATCAGTATTATTATCTTTGAAATTTTCCTTCATTGTACATGTGGCTGTACCATATAAACAAATATAGCTGTCGTAGATATTCACGTGATTGCCACAGTCCTGGTTTTCTACGCCCAGTGAGGTCAGCATGGCCAGACAGAATTTGAGGGCAGCAAAGAGAAGCTGACGATAGCGGGCCATGGGGCTGGGCAGGAAGTCCTCCTCTGTATCTACACATCTCTGTAAAGCCTGCAATACCGTCAATAATCAACATGTACATGTTTGGTCGGGCAAAACTTTCAATCCTCATTCAGTCATATTACATACAAACTTCCAAACAGTAAATCCTAAACTGCTATTAATAATTTTGCCATTTTCATACGTACTTTGACATGTTTGATTTCTATAGACATTCACAAGACCCTACAGCTGATACACCCACCTGTCAAAGTCAGGTCGAAGGTCAAAGAAGACACATCCAGCCAGTCTCTGCATGACTCCACACTGTAACAAGGTGTGGGCCCCCACAGCTGATTCTGCCACCCGAGTCAACAAACTCTGAAACACAGTCATTGTATATATCTATTTACTTGTAAACTCTGTGACACACAGTGACTTTGTATTATATGTCAAAGCCCTTAAATTTAATTAATATCAACATGATCAATATTGAAAATCAGTGGACTATATACTGCTAAATCATTTTTTGAATGAGTTATTGATTTATGAATGTTTGGTTAGATGCATGATGACAAATGTGGTGGTAGAATGAGGCAGTAATGGAAGACTTACATTAATTTAGACAGGTAGATGTACAGCACTCTGAGTTGAGGTGTGGGGGACACAAGGGTCAGTAGCGGCTGATCGTCATGGCGAAGGCTGTCCACCAGGTGTTGGAGGTAACCTTTAGAGGACAGAAAGGTCATCCACTGCTGGAACTTGTCCATAGAGTCTCAGAATGGTGTCTTACTGATAGGGCCAGCATCTACAACAGACAATAATCATAATATAGGTCTTGCACTGCTGGAACCTGTTCAATATGAAACCAGTGGAAATAAAAATACTTCTACACAAGGATATCAAGTTTCTTTCTTTACCCTTCCTACGTACATCATGTCCATCACATCACGATACACCATGTCCATAAAGTTGTCGCCGTACGACACAATGGTGGCTACGTACATTTTCTTGTCTCAGCTGCTCATACTCAGAGTGGGCGTCGGCCAAAATCCTCTTCCCAACCCCATCACCTCCTGCCTCTGTCAGAAAAGGAAACATTGTTGCAAACCTTTGTCAAGCTAATTAGGTTTGTATTTCAGAAAACATTTGAAGATCATCATATACAATTTAATGTCGATCCATGCATGCAACAATTAAGTAAAGAGCAAAATCTGTGGAGTTTAGTTGACATTCAGGCTTTGACATCTTACTTTCAACTGGTTACAGACTACTAATTTTCATACCCCTGCAATATTTCATTGACCACTCAAGTAGTTCCAGTTTAAAAATAGAGGTTTTTTTCTTTAAAATTCTTTGGGGTGTTTATGGAGTAGAAAGCGGTAATTTTTGGGCATAAATGGAAAGGAGAGGGTCTGAAAAAAATTATAAAAATGATAATAATGGGAAATTTTGCTTTTTAGTGCATTATAAGTAGGAAGGGTGTAAAGAGGCCCATATTTACCCTATCCTCCAAGAGAAAGTGAAACAAGAGGCCAAGGGGCCACATCGCACACCTGAGCAATTAACTAGAAAAAAGCACATTTCAGATCAGAACTGAAAGTAAACTGAAGCTGGGGAGGGGTGGTCTTAATTTGTAACCCCCAGTGGGTCATGATTTGAACAAACTAGAATCTACAATACCTGAGGATGATTCCCTATAAATATCACTAAGCTCTGAAGTATACTTGCAAAGAAGCTAGATTTTAAAAGGTTTCCCTAGATATTCCTATTTAAAACTTTTATCGGCCATTTGGCCTTTGGCTCAGGTGGGCTATAAAGCAGGGTAGGGGTTATTTGCGATGCCATAAAAGGACTTGCAGACTATGAATGTTCCTGAAAACTTGGTAAATTTTTGGACTTGAAATGATTTTACTCTGTGCCAAGTTTTAGGTTAGTTGAGCCGGTATAATTTTTAAAAATATTTTTTATGCTATTAAGGAATGTAAAGCAAAATATTTGGTTGTCTGTGTCCAACTATATTCTTACATCTACTTAGACATACCTGTATCTATGTGAGTCAGTGACTTGGGTTTCTGAACGATTTTTAGATAATTAACAGCAGGGCCCCATATAGATTGGCTCTTTCTCTCTACTGCTTGCCACCACCTTAACAGAACTAGATATTGATTAAAATTTCTTATTTTTGTACAAAGTTGTTTAATTTATAGTTTTATGAACATACACTTGAAAAATTTCTTTTCAGCAAAAAAGTATGTACATGTAAACTTCAGATATTTCGATCATTCTTACTTGAGTAGCAGAATGTGTGATTCATCACTCCTCTAAGCACCAGTTAAAGGGAGGAAGCAAATTGGGTTCGTGACCCTGACACTTGACCCCATGACCCTGTTTGACCTTAACCTGCTGTGGAGTCCAGCATGGTGAGGAAGTGTGACTGGTTTCGTCGTCAGTGTCAGAATCCTGACAGAAACACTGACCTAGATTTGTCATCAGAGTAAGAATGATCTCAGCCACAAGGGCAGTTAACTCTGTCAACGCGTCATCCTCTGTCACCTAAAAATAATGAATAGCTTTTTAATTATCAATACTGAATGCAGTATCTTTCAAAGAAATATCACAACTGTTTCTTTCCTAAAATCAAACATATTTGTTCTCCCCCCCCCCCCCCCCAAATCTGTCAACAAGAATAAGAAATGTTACCTTTCTTCATACAATTCGAGTCTCATATAATAATTTTAGCTAGACTTACCCTTTAACCTTTAGTATAGAGATGAAATTTAATCCAAAGTTAGCATTGGTTAAATATTCATTTTTGGGAGGTTCTATACCCAATACCTTTGAGTTGGTAAACAAGACATACAGATGTTGTTCTACCTTTCTCTGTAGTTCCTGTAGCAGCTCAAACAGTACAGTCTGTCTGTCTTCAGCCGTCAGTAGGTCCTAAGGACACGCGGTCAGCAGAACCACCGTCACCTGACGCCAGAGCCTGCTGTGGATTCTGTTACATAGCACCACATGCTGTAGAAAATTCTCCACTTCCTGAAAAATTTACAAAATTTTATTGTTCTGCTGAAATGTTGACATCCTTGGTGCTAGCTGCAGATCTGTAGCTATCCAAAAATATATACAATTGATAGACCGGATAGCTACAGTGCCACCCATTGAAAAAACTATATATTTATTGCGCATAAAAAAGTGCGCTCGGTTCTTGGTTATTTCTTCCTAATTCTTACCTCTATTGCAAAAGAGGGAAGATTTTAAAAAGTTTCTTTTTCCTTTATCAATTACATTCGTAGATGACATCTGAACGAAGCATATTAGACCAAATTATCTTTGAAACCAAAATGGCAGTATGTATAATTGAAATGTTCGATGAATACACTATCTGGGTCAGGAGGACTATCAAAGATAATTATGACGAATGTTTTGTTGTGGAAAGAGTCAAAGAATATGTTAGGAACACACGTTTAGTAAAATTATGAGATTTCAGTTTTAGGAACATTTAGAAATAAATGGAAGACAGAGCGCACTTTTTTGTGCGCAATAAATATACAGTTTATTAAATGGGTGGCACTGTAGCTATCCGGTCTATCAATATATATTTTTCCGGATAGCTACAGATCTGCAGCTACCTTGGTGCAGGTCAAATAAAACTAGAACTGTCCAAACGGGACAAAATACTTCCGCTGGGTTTTTCAGAAGTAAGTTTTTCCATAATTAAAATATGTTTCAAACATCAATTATGAAATTTTTATTCCAGTGATGTTGAAATTCCCCAGATAATCTTGGGTCAAGGTCATGACACACCCTTGGGTCATGGGCAATCTTTCAGTGAAATGAGAACCTACCAAGTTTATCCATAAGAAAGATATGGACCGGACACGAATTATATTTTTCTTCCAGTGACCTTGAACTACCCCAAATGACCTTGGGTCAAGGTCATGACACACCCTTGGGTCATGGGCATTCTTTGTGTGAAATGAGAATCTTCCAAGTTTATCCATAAGAAAGATATGGACCGGACACGAATTATGATATTTTTCTTCCAGTGACCTTGAACTACCCCAAATGACCTTGGGTCAAGGTCATGACACACCCTTGGGTCATGGGCAATCTTTGTGTGAAATAAAAACCTACCAAGTTTATCCATAAGAAAGATATGGACCGTACAGGAATTATGAAAATTTTCTTCCAGTGACCTTGAACTTTCAAAATTGACCTTGGGTCAAGGTCATGACACATCCTTGGGTCATGGGCAATCTTTGTGTGAAATGATAACCTACCAAGTTTATCTATAAAAGATATGTATCAAACATGATTTTTGAAAATTTTCTTTCAGTGACCTTGAACTTTCTCAAATGATCTTTGGTCAAGGTCATGACACACTCTTGGGTCATGGGCAATCTTTGTGTGAAATGAGAACCTACCAAGTTTATCAATAAGAAAGATATGTACCGGTCACGAATTATGAAATTTTTCTTCCAGTGACCTTGAACTTCCCCAAATGACCTTGGGTCAAGGTCATGACACACTCTTAGGTCATGAGCAATCTTAGTGTGGAGTAGTAGATTCTAATGTCCCTCTGTAAGAAAGATATTGACTGGACACAGACAGACGGACAGCTAGACAGAGACGGACAGACAGACGGACAGACAGACAGACAGACAGATGGACAGACGGACAAAGTGATTCCTATATACCCCCCCAAACTTCGTTTGCGGGGGCTATAATAATTAAGACAGCATAAAAGAGGCAGTCATCATGGAGAAGAGTGAAATTAATGGCATCTGATTGGGCTGGAAAAGAGAGACTTTGTAGCTAGCTTTACATCACCTGACACAAAGAGGATTAAGGAAGGAAGGATCTTAAATGCTTAATAATTGGGATATCGATCTCACCTCTAAAACTCGTGGCCTCTGAGTCACCATGATATTGATCTCACCTCTAAAACTCGCGGTCTCTGAGTCACTATAATATTGATCTCACCTCTAATACTCGCGGCCTCTGAGTTACTATAATATTGATCTCACCTCTAATACTCGCGGCCTCTGAGTCATTATAATATTGATCTCACCTCTAATACTCGTGGCCTCTGAGTCACTTTAATATTGATCTCACCTCTAATACTCGCGGCCTCTGAGTCACTATAATATTGATCTCACCTCTTATACTCGCGGCCTCTGAGTCACTATAATATTGATCTCACCTCTAATACTCGAGGCCTCTGAGTCACTATAATATTGATCTCACCTCCAATACTCGCGGCCTCTGAGTCACTATAATATTGATCTCACCTCTAATACTCGCGGCCTCTGAGTCACCATGATATTGCCTTGGTAGTTGTTCAGTTCATTCAGCAGTAGGCAGTGAAGTCGTTTGACGTCACAATACAAAATGTCCTGTTCAGTCTGAGTCTCTACACTTTTGATTGCTTGTTCAATCATCAACAATTCAAAAAACTCAACTTCATTGTAGGAAGGTAACGCTGTGAAAAGTCCTAGCAACATCCTGCGCACTTGGCGTGCTGAAAAAGGAAAACAAAGTCTGAACAAGATTTTATGAGCAAAAGAAGATCGGTGTGATAATTAGGGCTTTTTGACTTTTGTCGAAAAGACCTATTGTTTTCGTCTTTTTAAGGTCTTCCGTTTCAGACGGAAGACCTTATAGTGATTCTACTGTTTTAAGGTCTTCCGTTTCAGACGGAAGACCTTATAGTGATTCTACTGTTTTTTTTATTATTTTTTTTCCCCCTTTTGAGATTTCTTTTTTTATGTATTCTCAGAGATGACTTGACAGATTCTCATGAAATTTTCAGATATAATAGAGAATTAAAATATCTTTCAAATGCAGTTTTCAGTTTTTCAAAATTCACTTCCGGTCGTCAGATATGTCCGATTTCCGCTTTTTTCAAAAATGTTTTGTCCGAGTCATATCTCAGAAACGGTAAGAGATTAAGACACCAAACTTATATGAGTAATAGATCTTGATAAGTAGGCAAAACCAATTGGGTTAAGATTGTCCGCTGTCACTTCGGGTCGTCACAGGAAGTGATCAAAGAAATCGAAATTTTCAAATTTTTCTTTTTTGAAAGTTTTTTGCATCACATAAATAGCATCTTATTTGTACTTTCGAAATATGTCCGTCCCACCGGAAACAAAAACGACAACTTCCGGTTATAAGAGAAAAACTGCATATTTTCATTATTTTTCTTTCCCATAAATATTTTTTATGGATGAAGTATTTTTAATCATTTCTTGATAGGTTATTCAGACTGCAAATGTCTACAGTAACGTCAAATATCTTTGTAAAATTCACTTCCGG